CCCCAAAACCCCAAAACCCCAAAACCCCAAAACCCCAGCTAGAAACGGAGAAATTGTACTATTATTATTATATAATAAATAAAAATAAAAATGAGGAGGCAAACACTCTTTCTGCTTTTAATCATCCTTCTGCTGCCTGCGGCTTTGTGTACTGAAGATCCGTCTCCAGAAGACATCTATTTCCAAGACTGGACCTTCCAAGTTGACGACCAAGAAGGAAAACTTGAACATTTGGAGGTACTCAGGCTGAGACCTGATGAGGATTATAAGGATTTCATACTATTGTTAAATGTCACGGTCAAAGATGAGGAGAATAGGCCTAAAAGTTATGTGGTGGCCAAGTATAAAGATTATTCTCAGAGACTTGATTATGTTTCGGCTGTGAAAAGTTTTGAGGTTGATAGTGACAATGGAATCGCTTATATTGGAGTGAACTATGGCCAAACTACTATATTTCTGTACCAATTTAATTACCTAGAGCAAAAGCTCGTCAGATTTAACTTTTTCAGCTTTTCTTCGTACAACCACTTAAATAAAGTAGAGTTAAGAGAAAATGGCTCGATGCTTCTTTTCATCAATACTCTTTATCACAGATATTTATGATTGTTCGATTTGAGTGAAAAGACGAACAGATGAATATCTCCTACTGATCTTAATGTAGGCTTTGTCACTTTGAGAGATAGTAAAGTGCTTATAAGCAGGAATATTCCTGATAATGGGTATCACACTTATGGACTTCAGATTGTTAATTTTGAAATAGAGAGTTCGTTTATGATGAAAATTAGAAATCCATTTAAGAACAAAACATCCACTTTATTAATGAATGGGTTGTATCACAAAAGTAATGCTGATTATGTACATTTGTTCTTGAGATCTGCCACTAGAATTATGTATTATAAAATAACTTCTGAATTGTTTGTATCCTCTATTGATTCCTGTGTTCGCTTTGAACTGGATTATAAGATGCAAGATAAAGATTTTGAATTAATTGGAAAAGATGATGATATATATTTATTGCTCAATAGTCTAAAAGATGACAGTAAAATTATGTTGGTATTTAATACTCTCTATGCTGAGTATACTTCATTTAAAATATCAACCCAAAGGTTTGTCTATTATCTTGATAGATCTAATATTTTTCATTTTCTATCTTCAGACTCTTCTCTTCCTTCAGAGTCTGGAAACACATATAAAGCTATTTATTCAAGGGCTCCACTGATAAGTATCGGCTCTATAGAAGAAATTGGGGTATTCTCAGAAATGCAGATAAAATTACACAATGAAACGATTCCAGATTCTAACTATGAAGAAGTTCCTTTAGTGCTTAATGATAACATTAATTTCTCATCTAGCCCGTATGAGAATGCTTTTGCCATATCACTTAATTTAACTTCTGACAAGACTTACTTCTCGAAGTCAATATATTTGAAGCCAAGCTTTATCAAAATTTATAATCACAATATATTGCATATGAAGACAACACATAATCTGGATTTATCAAACAAATATAATATTTATTTCCCAGGAAATGACAGCTCTGGTTTTGTTTTGAATGATTATAATTCGACTAGAGAAAAATCTCTTTGGATTAGGTCAAAGAATGTTGTCAAAAATGAAGTTTATAAAGGAAGTTTTAAATTTGAAGAAAATCTAACAAATCAAAAGAAATACACGCTTGAACAGCCAATTGTTATCCTTCAAGAAAGTTGAGCGAAAGGTTGAATTTATTGCCCTGATTACCAAGAGGTCTATGAGAAACATATTCCTATAAGCTGAAATAAATGTGATGAGGAGGGAGGATATTTAAAGAACGGTGGAGTATGATACTTCACTTTATTGACTCTATTGAAATTATGACCATACATTATTATATCCATGCTGACTGTTTTATGGTGATTATCTTGGATACCGAAGTATCATCATTATTTTAAAATATATGTTTATCATTGTCATAGCATTTTCATAATTTTATTAAATATTTACCACTATTTTTATTATTTATATAGAGATCACCCGACAAAAGAAATAGAAGAACTCTTGAAAGTTCTAGCATTTAATTCTACATTTTTGGTTTATATTTTCCCACCTTTGGGTTTTATACCTCCCGTAAAAACAATGCTACTCTCATATATTTTCAGGATCTATGGCTATTTCCGCATCTGAGTCGGATGTATTATAATAAATTATTTTCAAGTTTTCTTATTTTTGGGAAGTATTACACTGTTTATTTTGACATATTATGTTGTTTTCAAGAATAAACCTCAACTCAGAAGAAGAATCAAATATATTTTCCATTGAATATTTCATTATAATTCCACGATCAATTTAAATTCTATTTTATTTTATCTTGAGGGTGTATTCCCGGTTTTAATTTTTGCCTTTACTGCCTTAGTGATTTTCATAAAGAATATTTATAAAGTAATGAAGGTGCAGTATTCTGGACAAAATAAAATATTTAATGAATCTCCATATACAGTTGGATTAAAGACTAATAGCTCATATTGTCTTCTGTTTTATCACTTTTTTGAAATCAAATTATTATTGCAGGTTAGTTTATGACTATTATTTAGAAAGTTCATTTATCTAAATTTTTGAATTCCTTTTATTGTGATTGAATTTCTTTGGACAGTTTTCGTGATTGTAAAGAATCCAACGGTTGATAAATATCTGCATAAGTTATTAATCATGGATTGACTCGTGATTCTATTTGCTTCAATAATTATAGGTATTGTAATCGATAAGGAAGGAGGCTATTATTTTTGGAAAATGGATATCATAGCCATAATTTGTCTGCCGATCAATTATGTCCTACTGTTTATGTTCCTTCTAATGCGTATGGTATGGAGATACTTTTCAAACAGAAGAAATATCAAGAAATTTGGAAGAAAGGAAGGGCTCAATGATGGAGAAATACATTTCAGGAATCAATTCGAGCCAGAGGAGAGAAGAAGGATAATCAATATCACCACTGATTCACACTCATATTCTTAACTCCAATGTTTAAAATGGATAATTCAATTACTTAATGGACTATCGGGGTTTTGGGGTTTTGGGGTTTTGGGGTTTTGGGGTTTTGGGATTTTGGGGTTTTGGGG